GACTGAACATCCGGAAAAACTGAATGTTTGGGCTGGCATTTTTGGTAACCGTAATCTGGAGTTTAACCGCATAAATGTATATGGAATTATTAGAAAATGCAATTTATCCAACATTACTAGAATTGATTGAGAATGACAATCAGTACATAGCAAACAACTTAATATTCAACTGTTCGTCAGTATTTGAATCAAACATTTCCAGGTTAATGGATCGGAAAAAGAGGAAGTATTGAGTGGCCTCCACGGTCTCCGCATGTAAGCCCGTTAGATTTTTTATGGGGCCACTTAAAAACATCAGATTACCCCATAGATGCTTCAAAATGTCCGAGAGCTTTTTGGACAAAACCTCTATTATTGCATGGAGGCCTATGGTCAGTTCCAGCATTTACTCGAGTAACTGGTAAGCTTTTACAGAAAATACAAATCGTTAAAAGATCATGGCTAGAAAGACAGTAGCGTTTTAAAACCCGGGGTCATAATCTATGTAACAATCTCTTCAAAATAAGCTATTATTCGACCCCCCTTTCCATTTAAGATTTTAGAAGTAAGTTTCACTCCCGCTAGAGGGTTTCCGTTCAGGGGGTGAAACTAGCAAAAAAATGTTTCCTCTTAAAATCAAAAATTGACGGGTCCAAGCGTTTTTTCGTAAATGACCTAGGGTGCCCAAAATATAAGCTCTCTTTCGTTTTCATATAGCCATCCTGTATACATATACAATTCTCCATTATATGTGCATTAATAAATCATCAAAAATCTCCTTCAAAATTCATGATAGTTAATAAATGTTTTATGTTGGGTTTCTACTTATTGCATTGGTACTCTCTAACACTGCAGCGTCACTGTATACCAGTAGTGGCTGCAACGAGCATATAGGGTTGCTAGATGCCAAATATCCCGATTTAGGTGGGAACTTCCGGCCTATCCAGCAATTGGACATTTAACAATACCCTTTTTTTTCAAGAAAACTTTCATAAACTCAACGCTTTAAAATAGCTTTTTAAATACTTTTAAGTGGTGCCTTTAAGTGAGGTGTGGAGGTGGGGGGAGGATAGTGATAGCCTCCATTATCCGCATAGAGGCCGGGCACCCAGAGCAATTTTTGAGTTCCGGCGCCTATGTACGGAGCCCTGGCACACTTTGGGAACCGCTGGAATAGAGACAATAAAAACCGAATTGTAGTTCCATACGTTATGACCCAGCAGGGACCGCTTCGGCCGTAAACGCGTTAAGTTACAATATTCTTCATATCAGGTGTCAACATCAGATTAAATTATCATTGTGTTACCATTATAAGTGAATTGCGGTTATAAAAGCTACATTAATATTGTATATAAAAAAGTATAGCGATGGAAAAACTAATTAAAAATCTTCAAACAACTAAAAACGGCATTTAGCAAAGCAACCCCTGAATAAGCGTTTTACCTAAATTCACTCTAGTTGAAAATTGTATTTAACAAGAAAAATTCACTCGGCGAAGCTCTTCCTAACCAGAATTCCGCTAAGCAGAGTGGTAAACAAATAGAAATGCAATTACTAGCTTAGTGGTGGTTTGGCGTAGTGCTAAATTTTAAAAGCTCACTCAAACTTAAATTAGAAGAGTCATAATCGCACTTTATATGGCTTTTAACCCGTCTAACTGCTTTGTGTGTCATTAACTTTTTAAATGAAGGCTGAAAAAAAAACTACAATGAACGTTGTTTCGGAATTATGCACCATGAGTTCGTAATTTATTGTCAAGATATTCTGCAAAATAAATTAATTATTCACAAAAAAAACATATATTTTCGTTATTGGAATATTTATTTTTTTTTAATTTTAATTCGACAGAAGGAAAACTATTAAAGGAAAATCTAGAAATAGACATATTGTGGTCATTTCAGTGCTCACGAAAATGAGTATATAAATACTCATTTACTGACTATACAAGGTATGATAACTCTAGCAGGAGCAGGTTATTTTTTAATTTAATATTTTTTTGTATAAAATTACCACAATATTATTGTTAACCATAAAAATAGATATTTAAAAAAAGTGATTTTGTAAAATTATTTTTATTAAATAAACTAAAATATTAAACATAAAATAACGCATTATCTTCGAATATGATAAGTAGAAGTAAATACGTCAGAAGACAATCTGTAAGTATCCAAACAATCGTAACTAAATTTTACGTTATTGAAAATGTTTATGGACCAACTCATTCTACATCACTTACCGAGCTTGTCGTACATAAACGATTTTATAACCCAGAATAAAACTAGGAAACAGAAATAAATAAATAGTAGGAATCGGGGACAAAATAAGAAGCAATAGAAAGCGCTGATTATGTTCGAAAAACAAGAAGGGTAAAACCAAACAGTTTTATGAGCTTTGGGGTCGGCCAATATAGCATCCCGAAGTTCGATATATGGGTCTTGGTTATAGCTTTGTGGCGCTAGAGGGGTTTATCTAACTTCCTAACGTAAATTTGCTATTTATTTTAAGGAAATGTAAGCAGAGATAAGGGAATTACACTGTTAACTTCATTTATGGTTTTTGACGGATAAATTGGGATTTAACAGATGATTTCGTATCGCTACTAAATGTATTAAATAGATACATTTTCTAGACTCGTAAAGAACAGACATGAAGTGTCTGCAAAGCCGTTCACATATTTTTAGATATATTTTCATTTTATAAAATAACAGACAATATAGACGATATTTTTAAGAGAAAGGAAAATACAAATAATAAATTTTTGGTTTAAAAGTACTTATGACGGACTATTAAATTAAATATTTCCAGACTGGGCTCACACGTTTGGAAACCTGCAGCGTCTATAGCTTATTTAAAAAATTTCTAAAATAATATGTTTAGCGTTATTTGTTCCAGAATTAAAAAATTGTCTTAAATGTTCCAGTCATTATTTTAATCAACAAAATTAAAGTAATTGTGTTATCTGTACAGGTAGAAAATATGTATAATTCAAGATCAATTAGAGTAGCCCTCAACTTTCTTAGAAAGGATTAAAATGTCTAATCGGCAGAAAGTGTTATGCAGACTGTAAATTATTTTAGTTAAGATTTACATTTCTGCATACACATACAAGGAGGAATCATTAATAATTGGAAATATTTCAACTACAGAATCCTGAGCTCAAATTATGAAGACTGGTTAATAGGGTGGGCCGATCTATACGAGAACAAAATAAAGTGTGGGATCTCAATTAGCCTGGGTATTAGAAAGTTGTCACTACTGTTGTTGATCATTCATGCAAAATTTTGGCTTCGACAAATGCCGTCTTCAGTTGCCTAGTTCCCCTCGAATTTCCCACGAAGCTTGATACTGAAATGTGATTGAAATATGCAGCTCTTCGCTTATTTTACTCATCCAAAACACAGTTTTAATGAATGAGATAACCCAGAACTCACTCATATTTTCAAGAAAATTGCGAATTTATTGGTCTAAAGCATTTAGAAAATGCTGTTTTGTCTCAGTTTTCGGAATTTTTTTTCTTGAGGCAATCCTAGTTCGAATCAAGCCATCTCTGGATTCTGTTCCGCTTACTAAACCAGAGGCTTCAGTGACTGTTCTGATACATCTCTCAACAGCTTGAGTATGACAAGGGTATTTTGAAATTTCAATGTTGTCAGGAACTCTCACAATCATTTCTTGTAAGACATCATCTGATACTTTTCTTGTAAGTTGTGGTTCAGTTACGCTAACTGACTGACAGTTTATCAATTCCGTGTAGTCTTGAGCATCAAAATTCAGTTTGGGCACTTTAAATTGTCTAATGTTTCTATTTTGAAGACCATTTACCCTGCATTTCAGAATTCTTCTCAGCGCAAGTTCTCTCATAGGCTTTCGGTCATCTGTAAGCATTGAAAATAAAATATTTTCTGGATGAGCAAAAAATGCATTCCTCTGTATGACAGGATCAATCACATCTTTAACTGGAGCCGGTAGATATCTCGATGTTCTTATCAGAAAGAATAAATGCCCAGAGCCTTCTGTACATGATGATCTCACTTTAATATCAAACCAAACAGGAGGATAAACTTTCAATATAAATTCCGTTATTGTTTTCAATTCGTTTGAAGGCTGTTCAGACGCTACATAAAGTCTCAAGATCCTATTTGTCGTTGTCAGCCATCTTGCATGTGCCATTTTTCCTGGATCACGCTTTGAAAAATTTGGGGGTACATCACTCTTTGCGATTGCAAAACACATTTCATATAAGTAAATTTGTTCGGTACTGGTGTTATTTAGGTCGAATTCCGGTATTTCGCCATCAATTTTTTCGAACTTTACTACTGGAAGGTTCTGACATGTTGGAAGAAGCTTTCCAATCGGGCCTGAGAATCCTTTCGGGTCGTTAGTTTTACCATCCATTTTCTTAATCAAATGGCGAAGTGAAAGTTCATAGGCATGCAGTAGGCAAATCAGCCATTGTAACGAGTGTCCAATAGCTTCTTCCAATTGCTTAACAACTCTGTTCTTAAAGCCTGTATTCACGACAGTTCCGTCGCAATCAACAGCAGAAATTTCGTCAACAGGTCGCAGGTTACCTCCTTAAAAATCCATAATACTTGATGTTATTTCTTTAGCATTGCCGGAATTAGGAGTTACATGCCCGAAGTAAATAGATCCAGGTTCTGCAATAAGAACAATATGTTCCTCAAAAACGTACCGTTTATGATAAGAGCTTCCTTTTTTCTCCGTCAGTAGTGTTCTGTCCTTTCTACCATCAAAGTAGAGTCCTGTAATTTCCAAATTTCTCGTTGATTTCTTTTTTATCACAGATCTTCGTCTCTTTCGTTCTCTCCTCAATTTACTATGGTTTAAAAGTTTTAAAGGGTAGTTCCTACTGACAACGCCGAGATCTTGCAAGACGGCATCGCCAAAAAGGAAGCACATCTATCGGAAACTCCAGTTCAATCGCAAGCCTCTGCCAAATTTCTAAAATCCACTCCTCGAAGGTCTGTTTGTCTTGTTTTTGAAGTTGATGAACCATCTATTTAAAAATCAATTTCGCTTGTTGACGAACTTTCAGACAGAGACATATTTTCTTCTACCTGCGAGGAAGTTGCATCTTGAACAGTACCTTTTCCTATAAGCTCCGATTTCTCTGGATCGCTTTGGTCACCTAGCTGCTTTACCGATTTGATCTTTCTTCGCATACGTTTTTCTAAAACCTTTGTCAATTTAACGTCAACGTTTCCAATAAACATTCTTCTTTCTCTTCTTTGGTCTTTAAAAAATTCTTGTTCAGTTTTAAGCACTTTAATTTTGCATTTGCAAGAGTCAAAATCTTTACACTTGCACGTCGATATATCACAAAGTTTTTCACTTCATTCTTTGAATTTTTTTAACTTCTCTAAACTCTTTTTATTATGTACGGATCCAAGGTTTTTTTTTTTAAATTCCGAAACTTTCCGACATGGTCCTTAATCAGTCGAGAAATCTCTTGCTCACTCACCACTTGTAAAGAAGCATTTTCCCAAATGTTTTTCAATGCAGATATAACTTTTTTAGAGACTTCACTTACACTCGGGTCTTTGCCATTATTATCGTCTTTAACTATTTGTCTGTGACACAAATACATCGCCGTAAGTCGGAAGAATGTTGCACTTAAGTTCTGTTGGTGCACCTCACATTCAATGTTTTTACGTGTATTCGTCATTTTTTCACACAAACGAACAACTAAACCTAACTAAAACTATTAAGCAGGAGTCAATACGATATTAACGCGTCGACTGCGTAAAGACAACTTATCTTGTCGGATCTTGTCGGAACAGGAATGGCAGACTTGTGGCGCGGCGGTGGCGCGGTTGCCGGGGTTTACGAAATATTGAAGATAGCTGCTCGACGTTGCTTGTGGATTTGGATCGCTGAACTCAGTTGAATTATTTTTGATGAATTTTTAAGCTTATTAGTTTTTATTTTTGATCAACACAGCTATATAGAGATGAAAGATCATATAAATCACTCATTTGGATTTTATGATTTTTTTAATAATTTTCCCAATTTTAACCTCAAGTAGGCACCTGAAGATATTATCCCAGAAAGCCCATATTTTGTAGCATAAATACTACACTAAAATGACAACTTTTGGTTACCTAGTACATACAGTATTCGAGAGAAAAAATTTCGACTTTTCTACTGGTTAATCCTTCCCAAATTCTACGCCACTGGCGGAATTGCAATGTTATCACAATTTTTCGATTGTCCAATACTTCCTAACATAACTCCTTTATAAATAAAATGACTCAATTCACACAGTTTTGTGAATCCATAAGGTTTGATATTTGATTTTTAATAATTATTTAAGTTATATAAGGCTGATAAAATCTCATCCCTAATATATTTCTAATGTGGCAAAATAAAACCGTTACATAATACTGATTAAGAATAGAATAAAATAGGTGAAAAACAATAACTAAGATTGCAAATAATGTTTTAACATAATCTTCGAAAATGACAAACAGGTTATACTAGGTGGTTTTTTGTATTTGTATCTTTTTTATAGTTTTTGTTTATTTTTATATCTTGAACAGACTGAGAAATAATACCAACAAAAACTGAAATCACTAATTGCAAGTCAATCGTTCACTAACAATAGATCGTCTAAAAACTAATTAAATTGTTCACTAACCGGAATATGGGAAAATTCCTTTCGGATTGAAATCGTATTTTTTGGAAAAGTAATTTTTTCGCTAGAAATTGATATCTTTTTTGTCGGACTGGGGAGTTTATTTTCCGAAGGATCTTACAGAAGCCCCGTCCTTTCTTACAATGAAATACGGTGTTCACATTTTTCTTTTCTTTTTTGGAATATTGGCACTTCCTACTGAACTATTGATATATGATTTTTCCTATTTATTATTACGAGGGTTGATCCTAAAGAGTAACTAAAGGTTTTGATGTTTTTTTGAATTTTGTACATCTTTTTAGGCAATTCTTGATTAAAAGCTCTTATTAGGTTATATATAATTAGGACTGTGGGCCATGTGGCCTCCCCCACCACGACCATTTTAGATTTATTGTGGATATCATTTAATCCTTAGTTAGAGTACGTTATGTAGTAGACTACATAGACTAAGAAATTGTTTTCCTGCGTAACTAGTTGCCCTTTGTTTGTCGTCTCTAAGTGTAAGAAATCTGTCTTGATAAGCCTTCGCAGTAGCACAATACGTGTTCTGTGGTTTCTTCCTCTTCCTAATAGTATCGGTACAAGGTCTTTTCTGTCAGACCGATATTATACATGTTTTTAAAGTCTACAATGCCCTTTTAATAGACTTACAAGTACTCTAGTATTTTTCTTATTATGGCTTAGTAGATAGTAGGTGAGTTTAGGCTATGGTACTTTGAAGAACTCTTTGTCCTCTCTCTGTCGTCGTGGATTTTCTTGAGATTTTTTAAACATACACTGCTTGTGCATGTTCTGCTAGCTGTCTTTATAATACCACAAAAGGGTTTTGGGCCAATGCTAGCCTCTACGGCTCCTTGTCGGGCTAATAAATTAGCTTCTTTTTGCCATTAATCTCCTCTGTGACTTGGTACTCAGGCTAAGGTTAGTCTGTTTGAGTCCCACCTCTGTTAGAGCTAAGCTCCTATTAACAACGTATTAGTAAATTACAATAAATACTTGAGATTTTATATTTCCATAAAAAAGCAAAGAGGTGTTATGTCAGGTGAACAAGTGGGCAAAATTATCTAAATAATTTAAAAAAATTTTTTAATGTCTCGTCTTGTTTAAACCCAGTGACGGCTTTTATTCAAATTTAAAAATAATTTTTTTATTGTTTTAGGTAAAATTCAAAAAAAAATTGGTAAATACAGGGTTTAAAAACAGTTGAGTCAATTTGCATAACAAGAAGTATTTATAAATTGGTTTCAAACCTCGTGCATTCAAAACGTATTTTTGACCTCAGATTATTGATTGTACCAAGTTTTCAATGTTTACACGTCATGGAAACGAAGACAAGTAATTTTAAAAAACCAACTTCAAAATCGTGCAAATGTCGTCACCACATCTTAACCTAGCTGCCGTCTGAGCGACGTCGGATGCCTGAAGGTTGACACTGGAACAACCGCAACTTGTGTGACCGTAGTACAAAAAAACTTTATTGATAAAGTTTTTTTTATTTTGGTTTAGTTTAGTTTAATGTTAGACAATTCTCCGCTGGAAGTTGCTTATGACTTTTGGTTGATTACAAGTGCCATAATTTGTAAAACGTTCTAAAAAATATCGCCAAAAGACATTCTTAGAATTCCGAATATTACAGACCTGATTTAGACATGAAATATGCAAATCCCAACTAACTAAGTAGCTTTATAATTTTTAATTTACAAGACTATTATATTTTTTTGATAGTATATTACTGTTTCTGGAATGCTAATTTGTTGTACTAAAGTTGCAGAAACCACTATTTTGTTCTCTAAAACTAAATTGTTATATAAATTAGTTTTTACAATATTCTTACAGCAAAATTATAAAATAGTTTTCACGATAACTATAAAATTGTTACATAAACATTTATACAACTGTTCTATACAACATTTCAGCTTATAAAATAAAATTGCTCTATAGTGGTTCTATATTGTTATTCTGGATCATCCTAAGACCTTTTTTGTTATGGTTTGTTTATTTTATATTTATTTTTTATTATTTTGTATTTTATTTTATTGAAAAGAAAACCAAAACTTCCTTTTATAAGACTATGCCACAGTTTATAGCTTAAAAGAATCAGTTCGCTCACTCTGCGTCGGCACTTTTGATCTCAATGTTCCAGTTTATACATTGCGCAACTCGGATTTGTATCCCTGGCACATACAGAATCAAATCATAATAGCCCAAGGGCCTACTGTAAATTTTTACCGCCATCTGATAATGAAATAAAATATACCCCAAAAGCTTGTAAAAACATTGTAATTTACCGAATGGCACCTGTGACAATCCCAATCCTGAGCAAAGTGTTTAAAAAAAATATTTTATATTAAAAAAATTACATAAGGCATGACAGCGCTAATTTTGTTTGCCCTTAAAGTTTTCCAGATAATATATCATATTCAAATATATCTTGATATATATCGTTAACGGGAAACATTTTCTTCCTCTTAACATCGCACAAAAACATCTACACACGATTAGTAGGTAAAAATCATTAAAAATATGAATCAATTTTTGCTGATTTAAAAATTTATTTGTATGCCTATTGTTGTGATTCATTTTTACAGGATGTCATAGAAACGACAAAAAAACTACTATGATTATGGTTTAAAAGAATTGTCTAACAAGAGTTTATAATTATTATTGACTATCTCTGCCAAAGATAGGTAAAAATATTAATAATTCACAATGAATTCGGATTGTAATTTTCAGAGAAAACACAATTAACGCTGTCATGTCTTATGTAATTTTTTGAATATAAAATAATTTTTTTAACCACTTTGCTGTGGATTACAGATTGGCACAGGTGCAATTTGGTAAAGTACAATGCTGTTACATGTCTTTGGAGCATATTTCATTTTGTTATCAGATGGCGGTCGTAATTTGCAGTGGGCTCTCTTACTATTACCAATTAAGCATTCCAACGACCTGTCAAACAATAGCTGTCAGTGAGAAGGTCTGGTATATCCTTAGATTATACAAACCTTAGATGGAACATAAGACACTGCGCATAATCCCATTTCGAAATTATTCACACCCACCAATCACAGTTGAGAACATCACATGTCAGAGCGTTGTCCATCCAAATTTAATGTGTCAACGAGAATTAATTTGGTATTTTAGTGACTTAAATTTTGGAAATTAACGTTTAAAATGCCAAGATGTGTTGTAGAAAGCTTTATTTATAATAAAAGTGCGAAATGTGACTGAGATAAAAGAAACTTATATTTATTTCGGTGAGATATTTAATTTTTAAAGATTCTGTCGACGTCCATATTTGTTGATTTGAAAATAAACAGAATCGGACTTGGTCATTGGTACATGTTATGAGTAGCAAATAAAGGTTATTTTTATAAACTGTTTACTATTTCTTGTTTCATGGTGAATCTGTTTTCAGGAAGTGGAAAGAGAAACATACAATCAAATACAAAAATATCAATTTCATTGCCAATTTATTCGTTTCAAACTTCATAATTGGTTCCAATAGTTTTTTCAAAACTATTTATTTAGTATTTCTCTATAACAGGGTTACTCAAAGTGTGCTCCGTGGAGCCTTGGGGCTCCGCAAAGCCTTTGTGAGGACTCCGCGAAGAAAATAATCATAATAAAAAAAAACAGTACTATCGCCACAAAATGAAGGGACCTGGCTTGAGGACCTTTTTTTTTTGAGAAGTAATTTTTTTAAGTCACTAAGAGGAAGGAGGATATGATTTTTGCTTTAGGACTTTTATTTTATTTTTATGGGTGAAATGGATTTGGGATAATTCTTGCAAGGAATCTTTGGAATTAATCAAAAATAAATTAACAACAATTTATGTTCTTATGCATTTTCAGCCTGAGTTGCCGATTAAATTAATCGTAGATGCATCAAATGTAGGAATAAGGGCCATATGTCATGTTTTTTAAAAAAATATTGAGAAATCTATAGCTTCTGCATCGCGTACCTTATCAAAGTCCGAACAAAAATATTCCCAAATTGAAAAAAAAGGCCTTGCAATAATTTTTGGCTT